GGCGGGCACTTAGAACTGCCTGCCTTGTGGTTGTCCTTCAGTCCTTTGGTTTTACATATCGGGCAGCAGGGCTTCTGCGTGCAGGCACTGACTCGATGATCCGTTCCTCCGCATTTAAAACAGTCTGAAGATCTGTCTCGGTTCTCAGGTGGACATCTACTTCTAGTATGTCCGCGGGCAAGACATCGGTAGCATTGTACCGGTCTGTTCGGTAACAACTCGATTGTCGCCCTTATCCATCCTATATTCAGCTTCCCCTCTTCAGCGAGTTTGATTGTCGCTCGGGCCGGTACATGCATCCATGTTGCGCCCATTCCGCCTTTGAACCTTTTTATCAGGCTACAACGTATGTCAGCTGCACAGCAGTCGCCCTGCCGCGCCACTGTTTGTACAACCTCCTCTTGTGTCACCGAGCCGTCAAATCCGGTTATTTTGACGTTCAGCTTTTGCATAGGTCTACCAATCTTGACGTTTGTGTCCGCAAGTTTGTCTCGTAACTTGCTCGCGAGTTCGTCCGCTCTTTCAGCGGCCCCTTTACCGGGAATCGCGAGCAGGATACCTCCAGTGATTGTGTTCTTTACGGAGGGCTGTTCAATGCCCATCTCGTCTAGGTTTATGGATGCGCGAGCCCTCCTTAACACATCTGCGTATGTATTGCTGTCATTGTCGTCGATGCACGTTATCGTTACAGCCGCTGTTCGCGCGAGTCTTTTCTTCCTAATTTTCAGCGGGGGTGTTTTTCTTTTCTCCTTCTTGCTGTCTCCTCCTTGTGTAGTCTTAACTTTTTTCCCTTTGTTAATATTTCCTCTTTGTGTTTTTTGGGTTCCATTGTCAGACCTTTCTTCTTTGTTCCTCTCGCGTTTCTCTCTTCTGCCTAGGACCTTAGTTCATGGTGTCTTAGAAGAAGAGCTTTCTCCGTCTTTCTTCCTTTCTTGTTTCTTAACTGGTGCGGATGTGACAGTACTTGCAGTGCTTTGTGCGGCAGCGGCTGGAGCAGATACATGCGACTCAGTGGTTCTTGCCATTTTGGGTTTCCCTTTGATGGGTTTTTCTCGTCCTTGATTCCCGCCGCCTATCTTGGCGATATGCGATCCGGCAACCTGTAGTTGCACAAGGTTTTGGACCACGGTTGTCAATCCTTGTATCGCCGAAAATATTTGCTTCAGCGAGTCGTCTTTATAGGGTTCACTTGTCACCAGCGATAGTGGTGGTGATGTCTGCCGAGGGTGTCCATTTCTATCCCCTCCATTGTTTCTTCACCCGTCATATGTTTAGGGTTTTTGGGGATCACCCTGTTCCTCAGTACCTTACCCGGTTCTATCACTTTGGTTACTCCTTGTATCGGAGGTCTGATAGCCGGTGGTACGTAGATTGCTTTCACCATTGGATAGGTCGCTTCATCCTCATAGAAGGAAATCCTTTCTTCTCCCGGTGGAGGGGAGAGGGAGTCTTCTCTATTAGTTGGAGGTAAGTTTTTCTTTTCAGATTTCTCCAACTTTTGTTTCAGCAGATTATTCTCCTGTTTAAGGTGGACCATATCTCTCATCAATTTATCTAGTTTACCTTCTAGATATTTTGAGTCCCCTTGATGAAGCGCTCTTGCCTCAAGTAGTGCAATCGCGTCTATCGCCGCACGGGTTCTAGTTTTCATTGTCTTGCTTAGTGTCCCCTTTATATTGCGCGACTTGGCACGGGATTCATCCACCTCCCATAACCATCCTTTGATCTGTGCGCCAATGTCCGGCGTGGTCACGTCTGCCATGTCTGCAACCATTGATCCTAGTTCCATCCTTTGTTTGTACGTAAGATCGGATCCTCTGAAGTCACCCTCCTCTTCCGAAATTGAGGAGTCTATATTGATTTTGTACTTCCTCTTCTTCGCGGGTTTTATGCGCGTGGACTCTGTCGTGTCAGTTCTTGTCGTTCTTTGCGAGGAGGTTACACTCACGTTGTCGGAACTCGCAAGAATCATGCAATCGTCATAGGGTTCGGCTTTTGCTCTTGCGGGTCCGACCCTCTTCTTTTTACTCATAAGAGATACCAGAGTAATCTCCGGTAATCTACCTGGCAGGGTCTTCATGTTACTGTGCGATCCGTGTGCCCGCATATCGGTTTTCTTATGACCTTGTATGAGTCTCATCAGGTTTTCCCCAGGTTGTTGTCCTCCTATTCCTGCTCTTACAAGTTCGTTTGAGACGATCGTAGATTTGGTTGGACTGCTTGTCACCGACGATTCAACTAGCCCTTTGCTTGATGACGACGCATCGGGAACAGGGAAGGTATTCCCGAATGCGCCGACTGGGGTATCCGAACTCCCCTGCAGTGATACGTCTACTATATCATACTCCATATTTTTCATAAATGTAATTTTTTAACACAGTTGTCTTCTGCGGACTTATTTTCAGAGTTTTCCTTCTCTTAGACTGGCCTGCCAAAGCTATCGAAACCAGCTTTGCCGGATTTTTTTATAGAGGTTTTATCACCCTCGCAGCCCGTGCTTACTATGCAAGCACCGGCCCCCGGCCCCACGGATGGGGTTACGGTGTGAGTCCCCACGCCTCCCCTCGTGCAATGGGAGGCCGACCGTTATGCCGGATTACCGGCGTGCTAACGAGGCTGGTCAGGCCACGGATTTTTTATCGAGGTTTACTCCTCTATCCCGGTGGTGTGAAAAACACACCTATCGGATCCGGGCATCCGGGCGATTGAAGTCAGGGCCGCCAACCCCTACCGGCGAATCGGGACGAGTCTCAGAAGGGTCGCCGGACTCCCGTTCCCTCCGAAGAAGGAACTGTGCGCTCTTGGCACCGTGAGATGACTCCAACGAGCCGCCCCACGGTGAGCCTCCTCACCACGACAAGGTGGCGCACAACGAGGAGGAGCTTCACCCCACCTACCTCATCCTTCCCCAGCCCCTCCTCTATATCTGCTATCATCAGATTGAAGAATAACGAACTCAGAGGACATCCTTGTCTCACTCCTTTCCCCGTCCAGAACTTCCTACCCACTATTCCTCCCACCCTCACTCCACTCCTCGTCTTTTTATAAATCTCCATAATTCTTATTTTTAACCTTTCACTCACTCCTCTCTCTTCTAGACTCCTTGCCAATACCCCTCTGTCCACCGAGTCGAACGCCGCCTTCAAGTCCACTCACATTGCCACTACCTTCTTGCCTCTCTCTCCACTACGTAATTCAGTGTGTACACATTATCAATAACCCCCCTCCCTTTCCTGAACCCCGCTCATTCCCTCATCAATTCGCTCATTCGCTCATCCCCTGCTCATTTTCATTGCTCTATAATATTTTAAGATGTATAATAATATTTTAAGGCTATTTTATAGCAGCGCCAAGTTTTTTGCGAAATTTTGTAATATTTTTTTATTTTGATTAAGTTTGAAAAATTTTTTTATTTAACTAGGTACAGATATAAAAAAAATAACTAGATACAAATGTAATTATTTTAGAAAGTATACTTAATAAAAATCAACTATGTAATAAGATATATTTTAAAATAACTAAATATAGAAACAAAAGTAACTAGATACAGATGCAATTATTTTAAAATGTATACCTCAAAAAAATTGACTAGATGTAAATAAAAAAATATAATTTTTAAATATACATGCAAAAGTAACTAGATATAGATGCAATTAAGATATAGATGCAATTATTTTAAAATGTTTTGCTTGAAAAAAAAATAAACTAAATGTAGATATGAATATAATTTTATAAATAAATAACTAGATAAAGATTGCAAAAATAACTAAATACAGTCTTATCGATGCTTATTGGTTAAATATATATAAATACAACTTTTTCTGAAAGGTTTTATTTAAACTTGGCGTCATTTTCTGATATCACCTCTTTTATAGACAGAATATATAGCAAATTTTAATTTGTTTGGTATATAGAACTTTTTTTAAAAGTACAATTTTTTGGAAAGGTTTTTTATGAAGAAATATTTAAAAAAAAAATTTTTTATGTAGAACTTTTTTTAAAAAG